AGGCCAGGCTGATGGGCAGCCCGGGACACGGCCCTGGGGGCTCGCTGCCACCCCAGCCACCTGTCTGTGACCCCTCCCCCAGGCCAGCACTCACGTAGAACCAGTTGATGTGGATATCAGAACTGTTTCCAGGGGCGTGGAAGTCACACTCCATCCTGGCCGTGTCTCCCATCTCCACTTCGACCACGGCGGGCGTGGAGACCTCCAGCGTGCTGCCTGCAGCTGTGGGACAGAGCCTGTCAGGGGTGGGGAGCACCAGGAAGCCCCCGTGTCTGAGCCAGAGGTGGAGCAGAGCCACCTCTTGTGCCAGGAGCACGGCCCCACCACCCTGCCCCTGCACCCACAGAGCCCCTGGGCTCAGGACACCAGTTGTGTCCTCAGAGAGGAGGTGCAGCACACCGTGCTCACCCCACGGTGCTGCTTCAGTCCCCACCAGACCTGCCCTCCCCACATCATTCCAGCCTTGCTGAAACGGGCAGAGGACCCCTGAGCCCGCCCCTTTACCCACCACAGAGTGGCTGCACCCTGCCTGGGGATGGGCATAGGAAGGACTGTGTCTCCACAGCCCACAAGTGAGCAGATTGCCTTGCTGGCTGCCTTAACCTTTGCTCAGGGCAGTGCTGGTGCCCCTCACACCACAGAACATGCATCGCCCACCTCCCCGGTCTGAGCCAGCACCCCAGGCCAGCACCCACCACGCTCTACTGGCCCCAAGGGCTGGGCGACCAAGGCTGGGAGGTCAGCAGCACTCCCAAGAGGTCGGGTGCTGGAGACTGAAGCTGGCAGTCCAAAGGTCACACCTTCCCACAGCCCGGGAGGAGAGCCCTGACGTCAGCTCACACGGCCCCCGCAGCAGCCCCGGGAGCATGAATGAGCTGCTGTGTTCCCCTGCAGCAGGATGGGGCCCGGGGGGCAGCGGCTCAGGAGGGGTGCCCCAGCCCGCTGAGGCGGCCTGCTGCTCCCTCTCCCCCTTCCGAGGCAGCAGGGCCCTTTGGGAAGGCAGCAAGACCCCAAGCACCGTGGCCATGGTTCAGCCAGGATTCCCAGGTCGTCCCCCCACAAGCTCCGACCCCAGCACTCGAGCAGGAACCCAGAACCCAGCAGTTGGAGCATCCACCCCTGCAGCACACCCAAGACGAGCCCCTCGCTGCTCCTCTGCTCCCTGCCTACAGAGTGAACCCAGTGCTGCCCACCCATAGCACGGGTGGCACCAGGGACCTGCACCCTGGAGATGAGAGCTCACCCCAGCACCCCACCTTCCCTCCCAGCCCAGCCACCCGCAGCAGTAATGGAGCTCCTGGCCCTGCTCCAGAGCAGCAGCAGAAGGTAATGGCTATTGATCCAGGGCAGGGAACAGAGCAGCCTCCTGAGGGGCTGGGGGCAG